TATATAATTTAATTAATATTAATATAATTTTTATGACTTAAATTAATTTAGATATATTAATTTTATTTTACTAAATATTATTAAACTATTTTACTAAATATATTATATTCAAATTAACCTTAATACAAAAGAACAAAGACTAAATCAAAATTGTATGTATTAATGTGTTATAAATACACATATATATGTGTTATATATATTACAGTTTATTATATATAGTAAATAAAAAGTTATATATAGGCTACACACACACACACATATTATATATTATTATATTAAGCATATTGATTCATTAATTTTATATTAATATCATTTTCATATTAATTGTGTGTGTTTGATTAAAAGAACAAACAACTCTTAACAGTATGTATTAATTTGTTATTAATTTGTAAACGTGTGTGTATGTTATATATACCGAAACATACTGAAACATTTAGTAGCCTACATATGTTGGTAGATTTTGAAATGTAGTAATATAAATAGGTTAGCCTGTATACAATTTAATAAAGGCAATCAAATGTACATCTACTGTTTTAGTTATTATTATTATTATTATAATTATAGTACAGTATCTGTTTATTTACTCCAGTTTGGTGTTGGGTTTCTGAGCTCGGATTTCGTGACGTTGCTCTCCGTGGGTTCTCCGCTGAGGTGGGATTCAGCGCGCATGCGCAGAGGGGAGAGGTATGGTTGAAAACTCGCAGTCCGTCGCGCTCAGCAGAAGAGGAGCAGCAGAACTAAATGTGACTTATCTGAGCATCATCATCATCACATCTGCGCCTCCGGGAGACAAAGAAGAGACGAACTCTGAAGAAGCAAACAACGCGACCAGAGCCTCCCGGAGTGATATGATATCATCATTATTATTATATCTCTCGACGTGACGACTGTTTGTCTGCCTCTAATGTTTCCAACCCACTGAGACCAGGGGGATTTATTCCTTCTTTTGTTCTTTGCTTTTTGATTGACTATTAATAAAAGCAGCCAAAACGAATAAATACGGGTCATTATGGTTTTGTTAACACTGCACAATAGAAGAGGGTTGAATTGCTTGTGCGCGCAGTTCTTGCTGTGGATTTTATGTGCTGTGGACGGTGAGGAGCAGCAATTCAGTGTGGAGGTAAGAGATCCACAGAAGAGATGATGTTGATGTCCTTCACAGCTCTACATACAGAATAAACCCTGCGCGGGATTGAGCCATTTTGCATGCAAACTACTAATGCAGTTCACCGATTCAAGCTTTGCACGTTTAATCTCTCTATAACACGCACAAATTAAAGTTGATCAAATGACAACAATGCAGATGAATGCCTTGCATTGTTATTTCTGAGACTTGTGGGTGAATGTTTACTGTTAAGACCGAGGGTTTATGATTTATACATTAACTTATTAATAAAAATCAATGTCAAATATGCTAATGTATCACACAAGGGAACACATTCGAAATTAGTGTTCAAGTTACAGTGCAGTTGCTTAGTAAATAAAAAACAGCATGCAGCTTGTGTTGTGAAGCAGATACACTTTTGCTAGTATTATCACTGTTGTAGTGCATTGTATTTATGCATAACATGATGTTGCTACTTCAGTCTATAGCTAATCTGTTGAAAAACACAGTGAAGTGCTTGTGTACTATGTACTATATATGCTATGTGCACAATAAGTGTTCCTTCAGAGGAAAGAGGAGTTTAGTCCATACACTTCCATTATTCCGCTCCAAAAGCTTTTCCTGCTGTTTTGGACACACACACACACACACACACACTCAGGTTTGTTCTATTGGCACAATCTGATTCACCAAAGGGTGGAATAAATCAACTCGACATGACTTGATATCCGGCCAGTAACCAAAGAAGTCAACCTGTCATTACAGCCTAAATATTGTAACGGTAAACATGCTGTTACAGTTCAGCTTTTCGTTTTTTATTAGAAATGCAGCGGCATTTCATGCAAAGCAGCAAAGAAAGCTTTTGCCTTCGAAACGTGCCAACATTATAAAAGTCCGCTGTGAATTTACAGTCGGTCAGAAGTTATGCTCAAATGAGACAGCTGTTTGTGTTGTTTGGAATAGTGAAGTGTGTTCAGGACAAAGTTTTTCTCCTCAAGCGCTGGACGGTGTTGCAGAGCCAGACTGCCTGTTTATGAGCTTGACAGTTGTGTCAGATGCCCTTTATGTCTTTAAGGAGCCTAAAATCTGCGGTAAAGCAAACAATAGCTTGAGACGCCCTAAATTTTCATCCTGACAACCGTTATTCTTTCTGTCTCTCGGAAGATTGCTATTTTAGACCCTTTGAGATTAGAGGCTTTCTCAGGACAGCAGCAATTCAATAACATTTTACAGTACCATGCACTTTAAAGTCCCCAGTCACCGTGTATTTAAGCATCCCATTGTATAAATTAGTGAGAAGCAAAGCAGAATACAGAGTATATGAATCAGATCAGCTTGATACAAACTTCTTCACTGGACTGATTTGGATTTCTTTTTAGAAGAAAGCACCAGTGGCATCAGTGGTTCCAAGCAGAAGCTTTAAAATTCATGGAAACTTTCCATCGCACAGGTTCTTCAGATTATTAAAATATTCTTCATACGACACTCTTAAAAAATAAAGTTTCCAAAAGGGGGTTTTCACAATGATGCCATAGAAGAACAATTTTAGGTTCAGCAACCTTTTAGTGAACAATTCTTAAAAGAAACATATTTTTTTCTTAGTAAAGATTTAATAATCTAAAGAACCTCCTTTTCCACTATAAGGATCATTTTGGGATTTGGAAAGGTTCTATGAATTGATGCCAATAAAGAACGTTTATTTTCAAGATTGTAAACGGGCTTTCATGGCCTTTCAGGGAACAGTTCTTCAAAGAAACAGTTCTTTTTTGAGCATTTAAACAATCTGAAGAACCTTTTTTCACCATAAAGAACCAGTGTGCAATGAAAAGTTTCCATGGATGTTATCGGTTCTTCATGACACCACAGATGCCGATAAAAAGTCTTTATTTTTAAGAGTGAAAGAAAACGATTCGTTGGGGAACCCGAAATGGTTCTGCTATGGCACTGTTGCAAAAACACTCTTTTGGAACCTTTAATTTCAAGAGTGAAAAGGATAGTTTACTCAAAAATTCGGTCATCATTAACTCACTAAAACCAATAGACTGTACACAAAATTTGTCCATGCAATGAAAGCCAATGGGTTTCAATGTTTTTTGGACCTCAACATTCTTCAAAATATCTTGTTTTGTTTTCCTCAAAGTCATACACACTCTTAAAAAAAAGAAAGGCTCTTTATTGGCATTGATGAAGAACTTTTAACATTTTCATTCCACAAAAGGTTCTTTATAGGGGGAAAAGGTTCTTTAGATTAACAAAATGTTCTTCACACTGGTTCTTCTATGGCATTGCTGCAAAAACCACCTTTAAAACCCCAATTTTTTTAAGAATGCAGGTTTGGAATGACATGAGGGCAAGTAAATGATGACAGAACTTTGATTTTAGGTGAACTGTCCCTTTAAGAAAGCCTTGCGTGAATCAAACATTCAATCTGCCAGGGTAAAAAAGCATCAAGGAGACAGACAGAATGCATTTTCCACTTGTCTGAGGTTATAAAAGGACACTGATGTAAAACATTGATGTTTATTGGTGCGGTTTGGCTTACATGCTCTGCTGGTGTGGCAGTGGCAGAGGGTTATATTGGTAGCTTCCTGTGCACAGACATACATTGGCTTTGGAGGGATAAGACAAGTCTCTGTCTTTCTAAATGACGGATCTGTAGTTTAACCTAAATCTGTACAGGTCATGACCGTCTCTGTGGGACTGAGGTCAGGAGCTGATTGGTCACTGGGCCACAGCATCACCTCAATTTCCTCCCTTCCTTGCAGTTCCACATGATTAACACTGTTTTACCAGACACATTAAACTAGTTTTATTGTGTTATGGTTCAATATCTTTTCAAACGTACAATGTACACACTCTCAGTACAGTAGACAAGGTCTCTCTCTCTCTCCCGCTCGCTTTCTGTCTCCGTGTGTATGTGTGTGTTTTGGAGAGAGACATTATTAATAGTGTGTGACAGACAGACAAAAGAGGGATTTAACTAGTGTGCGGCGAAGGCAGTGAGGTGTGTTAAAAAAGAAACCATTGGCAAACTATTTGGTCTTTCAGAAAGCCAAATTATTAAAAGCTGACAATGGACATGTAATCTTTTCTTGGCAGTTCTCGCGCTCTCCATACGTATTGCTCTCTGCAGGTCTTTACGAGGCTTTCAGTTGAAGAATGGCCTCCCAGAACCAGCCGAGGAATTATCTCCCGGGGACACAACTGATTTATTTTTTTAATTAAAAAGTACGATTTATTAAATGGAAAACGTTGTATTAATATAAATCGTTTGGATTATGGAGGCGTTATTTCATTCATTGTATAGATTTAAGTCGTCACGTCTTGCGAAAACGCACGCAGCAAGCTGTAAAATAGCGCCAGAGCTGTCAGTCTACAGAAAATCGTCACTGTGAACAGATAAAGCTCTGTCACATCTCTCCAACAAAGGCGTATTCTCTCCAGAATGACATGTTTGGATGATGTTTGTCACTTCGTATAACATGATGTGTGTGCGTGAATAGAGTCAGATGGAGTTCAGCCTCCAACTTTCTTTTGCAGTTTCTATCATTTTGCTAATCTTTCATTAAAACAAGAGCGAATGTTATTTTTACCACCATGGCTACAGTGATTCACCCCAAAATACACGTGCATACACTGGATGACGTAACGGAAGAATCCATGATATTATAATATATCTACTTTTGCATTTACTCCGAACTAACTCAAACAATGACCTTCTTTTAGACAAAATACACTGTAAAAAATAAGTGTAATTTTAACTGTAAAATTTTGTAAAAACGCTACGGAAAAAAACTGTTAATAGGTTAACAGTAAGTTCCCGTACTATATACAGGGAAAAACTGTAAAATATCTAACCAGACATTTCTTCATTTTTACATGTAATTTTACAGTAAAATGCTGTTAATTTTACAGTTTTTAGAAGTAAAAATAACAAATAAACAAAAAACCTGTAAACTGATATTCCCAGAATTCCCTGCATGACACTCCACATTTGAAAGTATTTTGTTTAAATAATCATGTTTTTTTAATAGTTTTTGTTATTAGTTATGTATATTTGGGCTTTATGTTACATCTTCTGTCGTTTAATGAAAGTTTAATGCATTATTTAAGTATCATGTGTGTTACCATGATGGTGTTTTGTGTTTGCATGAATGACTCTGTGCACCTTCTATATATTAGCATATGCTTCTGCTTGTGGCGAAACTACTTGTGATGAGCTTTGATTCTTCATGTGGCTTTCTCTTTTACCACCTGCATTATTATGGTGGTTGTCAGTATGTTAAAGGTACAAAACAGATTTTAATAGCAGTGTGCATTGTTGAATTTACTGGTTTACATTCAAATTTTCTTGTTTGTAAATTACAGTTTTATGCTGTAAAATTTACAGTTTTGGGCCGTAAATGTGTTTACAGTTTTTCTGTATTTTTTACAAAATTATTCTGGCAACCACAGCTGCCAAAATTATTTTGTAAAAACTACCGAATTTGTTTTACAGTGTAGGCAAGTAAATGAAAATACAGTAAAATATAATATAAAATAACAGTTTCCAAACTGTTGTTTACTAAATAATACTGTTTTTATATTAAAAATCTGCATAAAAATACTAAGCTTCCAGTACAAATATAACATCACATACCATAAACAGCAATATTTATTTTACTAAAACATTTTTTTTATGCTGAGAATAATAAAACTATGCTGAGACTTCCATGAACATTTTGTTGAGTGATGATGCAAATGATTCATTGAATCAGAACTGAATTGATTCATATAAATGGACAGTTTGAACTGATTCGTGTATATGAATTGAACAAATTCTAATGCTAATTTGAAAATTCAAAGACGGTACTAAAGCGGTCATATCTGAGAATCATAGGAGAAGGAAGGATCATCATCTTAAATAAATATGTCATAAATGTCATAAATATTTAATATATTGCCAAGCCCTAACTTAATTCCAGCATTTGGAGTGGGAAAATACTATGCAGAGACATCCATGAACACTTTTGAGC